GTCTGAGAAAAAGTCTCTTTCAACATGAAATAATTAACATATATTAGAGCTTTTATTCATAATGCTGAGATTAGGAATTTTTTTGTTTATTCTGCATCATAGAATTCATGGGTAGAATGAGTCCAGATGAAGGACGAGGAGAAGGAAAATGTACAGATGCTATCCTGTTCTTTGTTGACTGACAAAACAGGTTGGGGGCCCACTGTGTCCTACACTGTTCACTAACAACCCAGGAGATTGTAATCTCTCTCTAATATATCATAATAAGAACAGTATTAACACTTTATATGGAAATATGTGTAATTTTATACTAAATGAAACCCTTGAACATAGTTGGTATGTGTATGTGTATGCAATTATATTCCATACTGATGGGGTATGTTCTGAGACACGCGTTGCTAGATGATTTCATCGTCGTGTGACCGTAACAGCACAATGACACAAACCGAGACGGCACAGCCTGCCGACACCCAGGCTGCACGGCGTTTCAGCCTACTGCTCCCCGGCTACCAGCCCGCACAGCATGTAAAACAACACAAGATAGAGTCAAGCACGAGAGAGAATGATACAATCCAGAGACCAGGTAAACACCAGATGTGTGAGGGTGCTTCCAGCACAATACAGCATGCTATTTTAACAAACCTTTCTTTATAGGTAGAAAGAGTATACTCTATGGTAATAAAAAGTACAGTATAAGAAACACGTGAGCAGGTAACATAGGCAGTTATTACCAAGTATCATGAACTGCGTGTAATGGTATGTGCTACACTTCACACAGCTGGTGGCTAGCGGCACGGTAGGTTCACACCACACCACCACACACGTGAATACTATGCTGTGTTCCACTATGACATCACGAGGCGATAGAAATGTCCAGCTCCATTACAGTGTGTGTGTATGATGAATTCCTTAATTTATCTCATCTCCTGCATTCGGTAGAAAGGCAGAACACTGGGAATTGCTAAATAGGGGCATTTAGAGTTTGGATTCATGCCAGAACATCCCGTTGCTTCTGTGGATGCGTCCTGCTGGAATCAGAGACAGCTCAGATAGTTCCACACAGCGACACTAAGACTCAAGTGGTAACAGAAAAGGCAAAACAGTTAATAGCAGAACCAGGGGAATTATCTGACCACCGCACAGACCTTTGTTAAGAAGAAGGTAGACCAGAGGAAACTGGGGTGTGAGCTCTTCTTGCCATTATTTTTCTTTCTTCCTCCTTCTTTTTTTCCTTGTGGATTTTCTAAAGAATCTTTTAAAAAGAAATTTTGGATGTCATCTGTTCCAGGTAATCATCCATTCACAGGGAGGTAAGAGAAAGAAGTGTGCATTAATAACAGAGGAAGAGATAATGGGCCACATGTGGGCTAAATTACTTCTGAAGACTACTTATAAAAAGTATGTCCTATTTGGTACCTTAATTTGCTTTGTGCAAATTTTTAAAATTTCAGTTAGTTACCTAAAAAACTTCTGTAGAAAGCAAGAAGAGACCATTAATCTCATCTACCAACAATGAAGGGAATTTAGGGATTGAAATTTCCTTCCCCCAGGGAATGCTCAGGAGTCTGCCATCTCATCCCATCTACGCAGGGTGACAACGACATGTACTGGGTATTAATACCTCACATTCACTGTCTGACACACCACCTTCAAGGCAGCACTTTTGGAATGAACTCATACATTCTGAACTGAACTCAAGGAATGCAATAACAGTCTTGCTTGAAATTCAGACTTTCTCTCAAAATACCTGAAAATTTTAGTAACCTCGTCTTTTTCCATTTTTTGGATTACAGAAAGAAGGCATAGAAGTGAAACCAGTTCTTTAATGCCTAATCCATCTCAGTCTATTCACTAATACAAGAATTTGCTAAAGAATGGAGTCATAAATTGCAGGCATGTGAGGCACCGACTCTCTCACTATTGGGTTGGCATTCACTAAAATTTACAATGATGTCAAAGTAGGATCTTGCGGTGACAACACTTCATTTGCTCCAGCCGAGTTTTACTCTAAAATACTGAGGAAAATTCAGCTCTCATCCAATGTATCTCTGTGCTTTTGACTAGTTAACATGTTAATCAAGGAAAGGGCTGTGCTCTCCAACTATTAGATAAGTTATTTGGAGAAGAAAAAATATTTGTCTATGACTTTGTGGATGAAATGTTTCCAAGAAGAAATTATAAATGGGCCCTATTTTAGTTCTTTTCCTATTATGAATGACAGGCTTAACATTCCTAGAAACCTTAAGAATATAATGACTCCATCTTTAAAAGCCTCCAGGGATTACTGTACATTAACGTATCAGAGTCAGTAAATTATTTATCTATAAATTAATCTTAATTTCTACCCCTTCAATTTGAAAGCTAAACTCTGAGTCTCCACTTCAGCAACTTTATATCTGAAGAGTCTACATCTGTAAAAACATTTCTAATGAAAACACCAAGACAACCCCCAGAGAAGCAAATAAAATGAGATTTAAGTATATAGCAGCCTTCCTACAGTTACATTCCTAACAATAGTGGATTCTAATCTGATGCCAAATAGAGGTTATATAACACAGTCAGTGAGCACCGCAGTGCTTTTGGTTTCTGTGAAAAATGTAGGTGCTTCAGCAACTGTGTTTCTCCATGTACACCAAGGTACACGGGTTGCACCGCTGTCTGAGTCATGGAAACAAGGGGCCCGTGGGCCAGGGAGAGGCGTCCTTCGATTGTGCTCTCTGGCAGGTGGCAGAAAAGTGCGTGGGGGGGGAAGTCTGGGCTCCAAGCCTGTGCCGCAGTTGCCAAGACACAAATATCAAAAGATGGATTTAAATTTTCAAGTCATAACATATTAAAATTACTCAACCAGGCTTTATTCAGCATTCCCATACAAATCATTTTATCAGTTAATAAGACCACCAGCCAACAATAAGACTATAGCCAACACACAGACACTAAGCATATTTGAGGGAACCAGTAATTCATTGTGGAAATTCTAATTTGTCCATGGTTTGGACTATTTGCTAAATTAAACAACCAGTGGTTTTAAAAAAATCGTGTTATTCTTTTTTGAAAGGGTAACAAAACCTTAATTTTATAAACCTGAAGGCATTACAAACCCATATTTTAAGGATCCTCCAATTTACATTTAGAAGACAGGCTAATTTTCACTCATTTTTTGTTAACAAAGATGCTGCAAACATATAATGGCGTCTCTCGGCCATTGACAGGCAACTCATGTGCAGAAACTTTCAGCATAAAAACACTGGGTAGGCAGATGAGGCAGAATTTGAAGCAAAAGTAAAAAAACTATGTTTAAACAAATATATATATATATAACAATTTTAACGATTTTAAGTGACTAATTCAATGGTATTAAATATATTCACAATGCCGAAGAACCATTTCCACTATCCATAATCCAGATAATACACCATCTTTTGTTCATTCATTTCTTTATGAATACAGCCAATACTGAGTGTCTACATGCGGCAGGCACTATTTTAGTCTTGGCACGTAGCAGGAAGTAAGATAGACCCTGACCTCTGTCCTCAGGGGCCTTATGTTCTGGGTGACTACGCTTCTCATTAGCTCCAAATTCTATAAAACTTGTGGGAAAGAGAACCATTTTGGTAAGATTACTAATGGTGTGATATAGACCTTGTCAAAAATCCATTTCCAACTTCACAGGGTTGCTCCGGGATGTTACAGCAGAACATTATCTATCTTTCACTATTATTTTTGGTCACTGCTTTAATAGGTACCAGACAGTAGAACGGGTGAGCTGTATTCTTAACTGATGGACAAACTGTCATACCCTGTGTCTGCCTTCCGCATCCATCATTTAGTTCAACATCTAAGTAAATTTTGTATATCACAGAAACTCATCATGGAAAAATACTTCAAGTTTTCTAATATTTCCAGTTTTACATTTGGGGTTTTATTTATATGAAATGTCCAGAATAAGCAAATCAACAGGGACAGAAAGGAAGTTAGTAGTTATTAAGGGACGGGGGAGGGGGGGCGGCGGGAAGACTCGGGCATCATAGCTAATGGGTATGGGGTTTCTTTTGCGGATGACGATACTGTTCAAGAGTTAGTAGTGATGGCTACATACTGCAGAATATGCTAAAAACCACTGGATTGTATATTTTAAAATTGTGAGTTTTATTTATGCTATATGACTTTATAAAAAAAATCAAATTGGGTATTCAGTCAACCTGGACATAAGAGTAGCGAGAGGCCACAGTTTAAAAATGCAATCGTGCTACCAGAGGACCCTTCTTATCGACTGCAAGAACCAGGCCAGTCCCTTCTGCGGTGGCTGAGGACAAGCAGCATGTATTGGGAAGGTCTGAGAACTCAGATTCATGCTGGGCAGTATCTGGACAGAGCAGTATAAGTAGACAAGAAAGCCATCTGATTACACTACACGACCTCCTGTTACGATGTCTGTGCAGTGCCCCCAAACATCCCTTAGTCATCACACTCAAAGTTCCACACGTGCAACAGGAACCCGGCTCTAGAAGGAACCTGCTGGCATGTACCTATGGAGAGACCCGGGCACCCCTCCCACACAGCATGTGCCAACCTTAGATGTGGAAACGACTTTCTCCATGTGAAGGAATCACAAACACTTTGAAGGTGAAATTTATTTCACGTTAAAATAGTGATGAAAGGTCTGCTGTTATATGTAGTAATGAGGAAATTTATTCATTCACCACTCACTTGCTTAATTTATTCATCTACTGTGGTCATACTCAATTCCCAGGGATTGGCAATACTTTTAGAGCAATCAATATAAATATGCTAAATGCCACATACAGATGAAATGGCTGTTGCTAAAGGACTACAAAGAGGTGGTAAAATTTCACTCTTGCAGTTTTAAGACATGTAGAAAGCATACGCAATGTAAGCCCTTAAAAACCAGACACAAAGATACAAAGTAACTTGGTACGGGAGGCGTCAAGCACTTCCTCACTCAGTTTAGAACAAAGTAACGTTGCTCAGGAACTCAAACATGCATACAATTTTGATTTTATTTCTTAAAATACATAGCCAAAAGATAGCTTTACAGAAGGCAAAATAAACCACACATCCATTTTAGAAAAGTCCTTTTCCTATCTTTAAATCTAAGGCCCCCTCTAGTGTCTGAGATCAGTCACACGCAGCGCACACTGCAACCGAAGGCTTGGTCACTGCATTCCACCGGGGACCTTCGGACAAAAAGAATACTCGGCTCCATTGATGTGGCACAAAAATCAATGAGAGAAAATGCCTAACCATAATTAATATTTCAGATTCCTGCTATGATTCACATTCATTATTCTCTCATCCAGTAATTTCTGTTATTTACTGCTGGGTTGTTTTTAGATTAATACTTTGTTAATAAAGAAAAAAACCATACAATGCATGTAGGGATTTTAATCTTCCGAACAAGATACACACCTCCTTGGAAAGCAACAAAAAGTTAATTTAGTGTTACCAAATAGCCTGTTCTGCTATCGTAGAATTTATCAGTAACTAATATATATGTGTAATTTCCTAAAGTACATACTTAAATTATCTTTGGGAATCAGAAATTCCAAACTAGATATTAAAGACTCACCAAATCTGTAAATTTTGTAATAAACCTTTCGGCACCCTGTAAAAGGATGTGGGAAATGATGCTTTGAGGGCAAATATTGGCTCTGAAGAATATGATGTAAAGGAATTCTTAAGTTTATACAGACATGGCACTTAAACCCAATGATTTAATCTCATGTACTTTTAGAAAAAGATTGATTAAAATGAGGGTGAGAAAAAATGTTTATTTTCTCAACTAAAGCCTTTAAATGTCTGTTTCCATGTTCTAATATAGAATTAACAAAGGAAAACGATTTGGTCTCAAGCAGGAGGCTGACAAGGACCTTATTAAGCTATTACTTCATATTCTTAATAGTTAAGAGAAAAATGAAAATTAGAAAGTTAAATAGTTCTTGAAACAAGTTTAATCTGTATTAACTATTTAAATGACTGATTTGTCTCTCAAAATTATATGGCTTCTCTGCACTGATCCTGCTTTCTGTTCTCAAGCTTGTCATTTGTAAATGGTTTAAACAAGACTTTTTAAATGAGTTAAATAAAATGGGTTACATTTACAATTGGTCTAAATAATTAAGATATCTATATTCAAATGACTAAGACACAACATGTTTAAAGTACAACACACTCTTTTGGCTCAATATGGAAAGTTGTATAACTGGAAATCGCTGCAGTCATTTCTCCTAGAACAAATTTAGGAAAAGCTATTTTGAAAGTTAGCCATAAAATTATAAATTATAGGAAACAGGGAGGAGTCATTTAAAATGAGTATATAAAATGCAATTACAAATTAAACCAGAATGGGAGGTAGCATAAAGTAAATAAAATCAAATAAATACTATACAATAGCATATAAAATTTTGCTTATAAAAATTGAAAACTGCATCTTAAAACATCCATCTTACCTTCATTTGAGGGTTTTACAATGAAATTAAAATTTGGACCTGTAGTCTATAAAGATTTTCCAAATGTTATTAATTACTGGTACTGTTCTTTGCCAAAACCTCTCTGATCTGTCGGTCAAGTTCACTTATTATTCGGTCCTCGTGATTGTACACACCCGTCCTCATCAAAGTATCCCTTTCTTCTATTAGGCGAGTCAAATAATCATCCAAACCTCCTTCCAATGCACTGCCATGTGGACCATCCATTTTTCCACTTGCAATCTCTCTGGAATCCTCATACTGTTTTTGTTCTTGTTGCCTTAACCTGAGAAGTCAAGAACAAATACCACTGTAGCAGGCAACAAATATTGTTTTGATTTTCTTAAGAACGCCATTTAAAACAAAATGATTTAATGGTAAGATACATTTTTAGTAATATTTTCAGGAAGAAAACAAAAACCAGTGTTACACTTGGCAGGTCAGAGTTAGCACACTTATAAAAGACAGTTTTAAAAACAATACTTGTTTTTCTAATTATGAAAACTGTAGAAATTTTGGAAATGTGTAAAAAATAAGTTATAATCTCATCCAAAGATCAATCTAAGTAATAGTTTTCTATATTGCTTTTCAATTAAAAATGCGTATGTATTTTAAATACATATTTTCCTAAAGAAGTAATACTATATATGTGATGCTGTATACTACTTTTTTCACTAATGAATCAAAAAGAAAAGTCCTTACTGCTATGGAGTTTATTTAACTAATTATTCATAGAAAGTAAAATTCTATACATGTACATTTTAAGACTTTGTATAGATATTTTCAAGTAAGAAAGGAGAGCAGGTGCCACGTGGAATTTGGGTATTTCTCATAGGGTATCATTAATCAAACTGCCTTGAAAATAAAGAACGTGCTTACCAAATGATAGTAAGGGCAAGTGCAGACATGGAGTATGTTTTAGTTTAATTTAGAATGTACAGTTAAAATGTAACTTTATACTCTTCTATGTAACTGGCTACAAAAGTGTTTTAATTTGCAACTACTCCTAAGTTTGTCTTTATAAACAGGATAAAGTAGTCACATCGAAGCCCCTGTTCTGGATGGAGTTCGGAGCAAGCACGTCAATGAGATCCAAACCCACTCCTGAGTTTCCACGTGCAGCGGGCAAGAGAAGAGCCGCTGCGAAGCGAGTCCTGCTCTCACGGACAGGAGGACGGCGCCCCAGACTGGGTGCAGATCTGGTGGTAGACTACAGCTTCATTTGTACAGATGACCCTCTGAAACTTCAACCGATTCACAAAAAAATTAGGAAGAGAATACTGTCCAAGGACACCAACTACCTCCATCTGTTTTCAGGAAAAAACCAAAAAGTCCACACAGAGAGGCACTGTGCTTTGGGACTGCGGGGGAGAAATCAAGTGGTTAATGGGATATTGGTATCAGTTTGGGCAATTCGTGTGCATTGCATAAGGGAAGATTTCTGAATAGTTGTTTCCTCTGTCCTAATTCTTAGCAATCTCTTGGAGGAAGAGGTAATTTAGGCAAATTATGACATACAATAAATCATGTACCAAAAAGTTCAACCATTTCCTCATTCATCTGTTTATACATAAGGATAAACAAACCTTTCACACACCTGATTGCTTATCTCTACCAAGGCTTTACTAAAATGCAAATCATCAATCACGGTAACTATAGGATCTTAGAACCCTGTAGCTGATGAAGCCCATAATGGTATCAAAGGAAACTTTACTTCCCTGACAAATACTATGTCTGGACTCCATTCATACACTTCCTGTCACTAAGAACCTACTATTTCATAGAACTTCTGTTGAAGATCTACAAAGTACCTTCTCATATTGAACTTAGTATGCCTTTATGCTTTCTAATATCCAGCTGTGATTCTGCTCAAGGATAACCTACTACTTTACTACTTTTTAATATCAGAACTTTCCAGATACGTAAAGGCAGCTACCTATTACATACTCTGCCCAAGAGTTCTCTTCAAGTTCAATATCCCTTAATCTTAGAACCACTTCAACACAACAGTGTGGTGACTGCAGAGAGGAGGGGGATATAAGGGGACTAAATGGTAATGGAAAAAAATAAATACAAGAAAAAACCCTTCTTGGTCACACTCCTTTGGAAGCTCTCTAGGTAGCTGATTCCCCTTCAAGTGTATTGCACATTGGTTAAGAAGGCCCTAGAGGTTCTGAGTACCTGAGCACTACTTTTATGAATGTCCCTAACTCTACTGGCTTTTGGCAGCCACGTCACACCATTATTAGTAGCCACTTAAATCCTCCAAGGCTTCCTTACGTGAACTGTTTTTTCAATATGTCTATCACTTAACATTTTTCTTACGACTTCCAGTCAAGATGGTGGCATAGGCAGACATGGCTCACCTCTTCGTACAACCACATCAAAATTACAACTAAAATATAGAACCACCATCATTCAGAACTGTCAGAAATCGAGTGGAATGGAAGTCTGACAATTACGAAATTAAAGAAACCACATCCATTCAGTCTGGTAGGAGAGGTACAGATGTGGAACAGGGTGGTCCCACACTCGTGTGTGGTAGAAAAAAATTTGGGAGCGAACTTAGGAGTGAGGAGTCCCAGACCCACACCAGGCCCTCCAGCCCAGGGTTCCCGTGCCAGGAAGGTAAGTCCCTACAACTTCTGGCTGCAAAAATCAGTGAGGACTGAGTCAATGAAAGAAACTGCTGGAGCCCCAAGCAGTTCCTCTTAAAGAATCCACAATGGACTCACCTACTCAGACTCCCTCCCTCTGAGCTCCAGCAGCAGGGTAGCAGCTGTAAGACACCAGTGGTGTACAGGGAGAGACTGAAGTGTCTGGCATCAAAGTGAGCAGAGGCCATTGTGCCTTTTCTAAACCTCTGCACCACAAAGCTACAGAGCCTAAAAGCTAGACCTTATGAGACTATCAACCTGGCTAACACTGTTTGAAATGCCTTCTTGTGAGCTTACCCAAGTTGTTTTTCCATATTAATGGGGTCTTGGGTCATGCTGCACAACTTCCTAAATCCTCTCAAACAAGTCACAGCTGGTCTCAGTGAGCAACAAGCCTGGCACTAGCAGTAGCCAGCCTAGATTCAAAGCCTGACTTCACTTAGGAATCTCCAACCCCAGCACAAGTAGCAGTCATTTGAGATTGCTTTATAGCTCAGGCAGGGCAGCCCTTGGCAAAACACAGGTGGGGGTTGGCCTTGGCCTGTACCACCCAGGAAACCCCAGGGCCAGTGTACCCAGTGGACAGCTGCAGACCATGTTGGAGTACCACCACCCTGCCCCTGTCCGGAGGGTGGAGGATCATATTAAGTGGTCACAGCCAATCCTTGCAGCTGACCAGCCTGGGTAAATCCCTCTCATTATCTAACAACAGTAACCAAGGCTCAACTATAAGAGAAGGGTGTACTCAGCCCACACAAAGGGTCCACTTTGAGTACTCAGCTTGGATGATAGGGGAGGCTATGCCACTGGATCCTACAGGACACTTACCATTAGGTCACACTACCAAGACATGAAGTCAAAGCGGCTCTACCTAATACACAGAAACACAGGGAGGCTGCCAAAATGAAGAGATAAACATTACCTGAGTGAAAGAATAGATCAAAACTCCAGAGAAAGAGCTAAATGAAATGGAGATAAGCAATCTATCAGATGCAGAGATCAAAGCACTGGTTATAAGGATGCTCAAGGACCTTAGTGAGGACTTCAGCAGCATAAAAAAAGACCCAGTCAGAGATGAAACTAAAATAAAGAACAATTTACAGGGAAACATCAGTATAGTAGATGAAGCCAAGAATCAAATCAATGATTTGGAACATAAGAAAGCGAAAAACCACCCATCAGAACAACAAGGAGAAAAAAGAATCCAAAAAAATGATAGGATAAGCAGCTTCTGGACAACTTTAAGAGGTCCAACATTCTCATCACAGGGTGCCAGAAGGGAAAGAGCAAGACATTGGAAATCTCTTTGAAAAAATAATGAAAGAAAACTTCCCTAATTTGGTGAAGGAAATAAATATGCAAGTCCAAGAAGTACAGAGTCCCCAAAGAGGGATGCAAAGAGGCCCACTCCAAGACACATCTTAATTAAAATGTCAAATGTTATATTTAAAAAAAACAACAACTCAAACTACTAAGCAAATAGAACAGGAACAGAATCACAGAAATGGAGATCACATGGAGGGTTATTGAAGGGGGGAGGGGGAGAGAATGGGGGAAAAGGTACAGGGAATAAGAAGCATAACTGGTAGGTACAAAATAAATGTAGGAGGAGGTTAAGAATAGTATAGAAAGTGGAGAAGCCAAAGAACTTATATGTACGACCGATGGACATGAAATAAGGGGTGGGAGGGTGGTGCAGGGCAGAGGGGAATAAACGGGAGTAAACAAATGGGACAAATGTAATAGCATAACCAATTAAAATATTTTTAAAAAACAAAATGCCAAAGGTTAAGGAGGGAATATTAAAAGCAGAAAAAGAAAAGTTGCTTACAGGGGAGTTCCCCTAAGACTGTCAGTTAATTTCTCAAAAGAAACTTTGCAGGCTAGAAGGGATTGGCAAGAAATATTCAAAGTCAGGAAAAGCAGGGATCTACAGCCAAGATGGATCTACCCAGCAAAGCTATCACTCGGAATTAACGGGCAGATAAAGAGCTTCCCAGACAAAAAACTATAGTAGTTGATCACTAACCCATTAGTATATGAAATGTTAAAGGGGCTTATTTCAGAAACAGATGATCAAAGCTATGAACAATAAAATGACAAAAAATACATATCTATCAACAATTGAATCTAAAAAACAAACTAAGCAAACAAAAACAGAGACAGAATTATGGATACAGAGTGTTTTGATGGTTGCCAGATGGGAGGAATTGTGGGGAATGGGTGAAGAAGCAGAAATAGGTAGTTGCAGAATAGCCATGGGGATGTAAAGGAGAGCATAGACTAGCCAAAGAACTTACACATAGGACTCATGGACAGGAACTATGGTGGGAGGATTGCCTGAAGGAGTGAGGGGGGCTTAGTAGAGAGGGGCTAAGGGGGAAATATCAGGACCTAATAGCACAATCAATAAAATACAATAAAAATTTTAAAGTTAAGGAGTTATAATAAAAAAAGATTTTTATAATTTATACAGAGGACTCACTCTGCTTTTGACTAATATATTTAATTTTGTTGGATTCAGTTTTTCTGAATCCTAATTTATTAAACTATTAAAGATAACATTCAAGTTCGGATGACCCAACGAATTTGATAGAGAAAATGGTTATCTTCATCTAAGCCACTAAAACAGCACTTAGCAAACAACAGGGGCTTAATATATATTTGCTAAACTGAAACCAGAAAAGCGCTATAGTCATTCATTGCTGAGTGACATAGTGGCCATCCTTAGGTCCTAATGCAGTGAGTAACGTGTCTGTAATGTTGGTGTAAGCAACCAATGTGCTGTTAGCCACACAAAAGTAGTGCACATAACTGTGTACAGGACATTATCACACCTGATAGTGATAATGAATGCCTAACTCAGTGACTTACATTTTTATTATACTGTATTTTTAATCTTTATTTGACTGTTCTCTTTCTACTTACAAGAAAAGAAGTTTTCTATAAACGTTGTGTAGGCAGCAGCCTCATACATCTATTTACTGCATCTCTCGACTGCATCACTTTCTCTTGTGTTTGATTTAATCTGGCACTGTTTTGTCAGGAATGTGCTGTACAGGCTTGTAGCCCAGGAACCACAGGCTCTATCACACAGCACCAGTGTGCAGCAGGCTCTACCACCTATGTTTGTGTAAGTGTTCTTTGTGATGTCCACATAATGGTAAAATGACCTAACAATGTATTTCTCAGAATGTATCCCTGTCATTAAGCAATGCATGACTATATGATAGCAAAATTTTGAAAGGCAAGGATCATATTATAATTAATTTGTTATATCATCCAAGTCTACAACACAGTAGACGTCATATAAATATTTGCTGAATAAAAGAAGAATAGCATGAATTGGGCCTTACAGCATAGCACCATAGACCTTGACCTTTTCCAACTTATGTACTGTTGGACCTTTCCAACAATAATGTATATTTATACATTAATATCCTAAATGTACTTATTTAATTCAGCTCTGAACCCACCTAATATAGTGACTGAGTTTTCCCAGCTCATACATGGAGATGTCATAGGATATTCTGTCAAATGAACTGAACTGCATGTCCCCATATTAACATGCTGAAGCTTCATTCTCCAATGTGATGGTCTGTGACTGGAGATGATTAGGATTAGATGAGATTGTGAGGATGAAGACCTCTAATGGGATCAGTGCAAAGATACACCAGGAAGCCTGCTTTCTCTCTTCCCACGTGAGGATGGTGGGAAAACCACTGTTTGCAAGTCAGAAAGGGAGTCCTCCCTAGAAACCTACCATGCTGACAAGTGATCTTGAACTCTACCCTCCAGAATTGAGACAATAAATGGTTATTATTTAAGCCACCCACCCACGGGTCAGCACTTTATGGCACCCCAAGCTAAGGCAGTATACTTTACTAAAACAAATACTATTTCTTGATAAACTAAGTTAAAATGTTTTCCCTAAAACTGAACTCCAAAAAGACTATAATTTGTTCTTATGTTAATTCCTAAAGGTAACTTTTCTAACATGAAATGCTGTTGAAATTGTAACTAAGATGAACATGACACTACAGAGAAGCCCTGTGTAGCAGAGGAGTTAAAAAGACAACTTCTAGAATCAGAACTAGCTCTGTGACCTTGGAAAGGGTACTTAAAATTTCTTTAGTTCTTGGTTTCCTAATCTCTAGAATGGGGATAACAGCTTCCTCAAAAAGTTGCTTTGAAGATAAAAGAAAAGAAAACAAGTACATGAGGCGTTTAAAATAGCTCTGGGCACACAGTAAGAGTTCAATAAATAAAAGCTATTATTTACATTATTATTGTAACTAAATTAGAAATTTCTCGTATTTTTTTGTAATAAAAAATTCAATTATCTTGAAACAGTAGCAATAATCCTGTAGTTACACAAATATAAATTTTAAGATACTAGTGCTATGAATAAACATGAAAAAGCTAAATAGATTTATGACAGCTACATTCATGATAAAAATTTTGAGTGTAATAATGTTCTTTGGCATGACTACAAATCAGCTATTTTTTATAGTACACGATCTGCTTTATTCTTGACAGACCCGACATACTTTCCCTGGACCAATAACCAATTTAAAGGTTGTTCTAACCCTGGCTGTAGGCTCAGCTGGAGTGTTGTCCATGCACCAAAAAGGCTGCAGGTTCAATCCCTGGTCAGGGCACATATGGGAGGCAGCCAACTGATGTTTCTCAATCTCCCTTCCTCTCTTTCTAGAGTCAAAGGGCATATCCTCAGGTGAAGATTAAAAAAAAATTGTAAGAGGCTGTCCTATTAGAACTTCTGTTTTTTTTATGAAAAAGAAATGTAATGTTCTAGTTACTATACCTGTTCAATTCATTTCTTATATCCAACAATTCTTGTCGCTCAGTTTTTACTGTATCTTTCTCCTCAGAAGCCAGGTAACGTAGTCTCATCTGTTCCAATTCTTCTTGCTGTTTTTTAAGGCGAGCCATTTGACTTTCTTGCTCTCGCTTGAAAGAAATAAACAAGCCAGATCCTTAATGTTAGAAGAAATAAATGTATTTCATGTAATTTTCGTGATTATAATCCTGTTTGACAGTACCCGTCATACAGCCACGCACTGCCAATTCTATGAGCTGCATATTACTTAGAAATGATCAGGTTCTCTTTTAAAACCCTTTCCATTATTTCTCCTCTTGTTATAAACCATAATCTTTCATGGCCCAATCTGTGACTGAAGTTAGCTTAATGGCCTAAGACAGCAGAAGTTGAAGGGAAGAGAGTCTGATGACAGCACAATAAATTGGCCCAATGATCAATGGCAAGAGCAGCACCTAAGAAATGGTTAATTACACAAAAATGTACCCAGAAAAATTCAGTCATTGTCCCTACACTGTCACTAATTCTACTCCCATCTCGGGTAGCGATACACCTTTCCACTCTTTACTCCAGGCTCATACAAAAACCTGGGCACATGACGAGAAGTCTTTAAAATACATGTGTAACATCCCACAGAATGCACATCCCATGCCTTGTTTAACCACTCTCTCAGTAACAGAGACTTTTGTTACTATGAGCAATGCTGCAATTAAACACCCTATTGTCTAACCTCACACACAAATGTTTCTATATTGTTTTAGAGATAGGTGCTTCTCTTTCTTTAGGACAGAACCTCAAAATAAAAGAGCTAGGTCAATAGGTATGTGGCATCTTTAAAACAAACATTTATTGAGTAATTGCAAAATCCAAATCACAAGTGTGTATACCTTTTGATAAAACTTCGCAAAATGAACCACTCAACCACCATCCAGATCAGGAAACAAACACTGCTCAGAACCCGAGATGTCCCTGTGTTTCCATCCTTCCCCAAACATAACTACTACCCTGTTTTCTAACATCATGATTAAGTTTTGACTGCTTTGAACTTTATATAAATGCAGTTGGACCGTATATATTACTTTATAGCTGGCTTCTTTCACTTAACATTATTTTCAAATTCATTATTATGTATAATTGATGATTCAGGTTCCTATTTGGCATTCCACTGGAAAAATACACGATTTATTCATTCCGCCACTGAGAGACATTTGGGTTAGTTTCCAGTTTTGTATTGTAAAGCTAATATGAACATATTGTACACATCCTTTGGTACATATTTGTATGCATTTCTCTTGGCTATGTACCTATGATTCAAACTGCTGGGTCATTAGGGTATGAGAATTTCCGTAGTAGTAAATATCATCAGTTTTTCCAAGTAGCAGTACAAATTTCGACTTCCATGTGAGCACTGCTGTCTGTGTTCAATGTTCCCGCCAATACTGGGTAATGTCAATTTCTTTTCATTTAGGCTGTTCTTACAGATTATGTAGTAGTATCTCATTGTGACTTTATTTTTCAAAGACTAATGAGGTCGAACATGTTTTAATATTTTTAATGGCATTTGTTTATCTCCTTTTACAAAGTTCCTATGCAACTACTTGGCACTTTGCTCTACTTGGCTATCCATCTTTATTGATGTTTGTCATTCTTTATACACAGGGAGGGGCAAAAGGAAGTTTACAGTTGTATGGGAAAGTTTATTTTTCATATTACTTATTATATTTTTTATATAAACTGTAAACCTACTTTTGCCCCACCTGTATCCTGGGTAAGTCCTTTGTCACTTGCTTAAATTCCAGATATTTCCCACTATTTTATCTTGCCTTTTTACTGCCGTAATGGTATTTTTGACTTATTTTTAATATAGCCCAAATTCATCTGTCTGGCTTTCTTATCTTTTTTTGGCTAGTGCTCCTATGTCCAATTTAAGGAAGTTTTTGCCTCAGTCTTAAAAATACTTTGTTGCCCTCTTGACTATTCATTTAGATGAGTAATTCATACGCAATTGAACTCCTCCCACATAAGAGCACTAACTGACCTAGCAATACTTGCTGTGAAACACCCCCCCTCCCCAAAACACACACTGCTTAGCAGTTATCACCAGTCCTGTCACCTCTGCCCATTGTATGTGTAGGTTTGTTTCTGGACCTTCTAACCTGATTGTCTGTATCCTTGCATTAAAAGTACACTTTCTTAGTTCCTATTCAAGTCTTGTGATAATAACTCTTGATATCTGAAAAAGTCTTCAACCTTTGGCTGTTCTTCAAAATTTCCTTAGTTATTCTTAACCCCTGTGTTTTCATATAAATCTGTTTCTAAAGCTGGAAAAAAAAAGTCCTGCTGGGATTTGATTATGCTGAATCTACAGATCAATCTGGCCAAAACCATCGATTCTTTAATCAGTGAACATGGTTTACTTTTCCCATTATTTAGGTTTTCTTTAACTTTAAAATTTTTATCCTTCGCTATATACTAAGAGTAATATCTTCCTTTGAATGTGCTCCTAGGTATTTGGTGTTTTTAGGTGCTGTTTTACATGCCAGTTTAAAAATTTTCCTTCTCTAATTGTACCTAGTATAGAGAACTGAAATTGAGCTTTATATACTGACTTTGTTTGCCACAAACTTACTAAGTCATTAATTCTGGTAGGTTACCTGCAGACCCTTTTTGGTTTTCTAAGAATATAATAGTGTCTGTCATCTGAAAATAGCAGCAGTTTTACTTTTTCATTTGCGACTGATCCACCCTTTCTTTCTTTTGGCCTATTACGCTAGAACCTTTAGTACAATGTTGATAAACTGTGATAGAGGGCATCTTTCTCTTATGCCCGATCTCAGGAAACAAACTTTTCTTAAGAAAGATTGTTCTTATGTAAATATCCCTTATTAGATTAAGAAATTTCCCTTCCATTCTGAGTTCACTAAGAATGATTATGGATCGATTCTTTTTCTGCATTTTTATATGATCACTTAATCTTTGCCCCTTTATCCTTTTATGGTGGTAAATACCCAACTTTGCCTTTGTTTAATAAATAAACTGGACTGTTGATACTTATGTTTTATATCTTATGTTCATGAGACTGGACAATTTATTTTGTTCTTATAATATCTTTATCAGATTTTAAGATCAAGACTATGCTGGTCTCATTTAAAAAAAGTGAGAGGTGTTCCCTCTTCCTAGTTTTCAAAAACAATTGTATAAATTTAGTGTTATTTCTAAAATGTTTACTAAAATTCAAGTGTGAACTCTTCTGGTTCTGAAGACTTCTTTGTGTGAAGGTTGTTCACTATGGATGCAATTTCTCTAATAACTATATAACTACTTATATTTTGTCTCTTCTTGAGTCAGTTTTGTAAGTTCTATTTCTCAAAACCGCATACAAATTTTCATACCACCCTCTTCTCTCTGTAAATGTCTGCGGAGTGTGCAGCCCCACTTTTTTATTCCTGGTATGAGGACCCAGTGCTTTTTTTCTTTTTGTCTTTGAATACTCATTGCCAAGGAGGAGGTTCCTTTCAAAAACAACTTTTTGCTTTATTTTGTTGTATATTTTCCTCCTATTTCATTAAGTTTTACTCATCTGGGTTATTTCTTTTGCTTCTAATTTCCTTAATGTCTTATTCTTTTACTGACTATTTGAAAGTGGTAAGAGAATAGAATTTATGCTTTTCTTATTTTCTAAGGGCACTTGAGGTTATAAATTTCCTCCTAAGAACAGCTTTCATTAAGTCTCATGTCTTGATATGTTGTATTTACATTATTTTTTTAAGTTCAAAATATTTTCTAATTTCATTTGTCTGAAAGTTTTATGTCAATTTCATTTAAGGACGTTCTCGCTGGGTACAGAACTTCAAGCTGGTAGTTATTTTCGTCCAGTACTTTAAGGATATTATTCCACTGTCTTATGTATTACTTCACTTTTGTTGAAAAGCCATCTGTAGTCTTATTGCTGCTCCTATAAAAGTAATGTCTCCCTCCACCCCTAGAGCTTTTTAAGATTTTCTCTGTTTTTTGACAACTTTTCTATGATGCATCTAGATGTGATTTACTTTGTATTTATCCTGCTGAGAGTTAGTAGATATTCTTGAATCTATGACTTGATATCTTTTTCACTTCTATAGAATTCTCATCCAATATTTCTTCAGATATTGCTTCCTCCCTGTATTTTCTATTTTCTCCAGGAGGCTGCTATAGGCTGAATGTTTGCATCTTCTGAAAATTCGTATGTTGAAACCTAATCCCCAATGTGACGGTGTCAGGGGATGGGGCCTTTGGAAAGTGATTAGGTCAGGAAGGCAAGCCTTTATGAATTAGGTTAATACCCTTATAAATGAGGTCTTACAAAGCTCCCTAGCCCCCTCCACCCTGTGAAGACACAGTAAAAAGATGGCCATTTATGAACTGGAAAGCAGACCCTCACCAGACACAGAACCTGACAAGGTGTGCGCACCCTGATCTTAGACTTTAAGCCTCCAGAACAGTGAGAAACAGATTTCTGTTGTTTATGAGCCACGGAGTCTGTGGTATTTTGTTATAGCAGCCCAAATGGACTAAGACAGGGGTCTGCAGTTACACAAAAGGTGGTCAGTCTCATATACTCTATTCCATATGTTGTTTATGGTATTTGCTGTTATTTTACATCTTTTCCCCCCTTATCTTGCTTCAGTTTGGATACTTTTTACTGACTTCACACATCCTTGCTTCTGCTATACTTGATCTGCTCTTAAGTCTTCCACTGAATTCTTACATTTCACTCACAATACTTTTCAGTTCCAGCATTGCTATACGACTCGAAAGATTCTACTCATCATTACATTTCTGTCATCACCTACTTTCTAGAATATAGTGTTAGTAGTTATTTCAAATTCTGTATCTGATAACTCCAAAATCCTGATTACCTATTGATTTACTTCTTTTGAGCAAAAGACATAAAAAAGCGGTCTACAATAAGGACATGTAAGTGGCTAAGAAACATATGAGATGATGCTCAAAGTCGATCTGGGAAACAAACATTTAAGCTACAACATGATACTATTACACCCACCAAACTGGAAAAAGTGAATACATCTCAACTGCCATTGCACACAGGGTGAAGAATAACTGCTACACAACACACAATGGGAACTGCACC